AATGGAACTTTTTGAATTTGGATAGCCAGGTAGAAACGTGAGAGCTTTTCTCCCAGATGCACCGATCCCCACCATACTGATGCAGAAGAATTGGATGCCACCATTTTAAGGAACTTTTTGTAAAATGGTGAGAAGTCAGACAGCCTGTGGCTCAGACCTTGGTACAAAATAGCATAGATCTGCCAGACTGTCCACTAGATGGAAGTGTTTTCCGGTACAGGATCACGCCTTGCAAGGACAGAACAGTCACACGGACTTGAGAGGCCACAAAAAGCCATCCCAAAGTTTGAGCAGAGCACAGCAAGGGGGACCTGCACCACACTTCAGGCACTCGTTTGCCCACAGTTGGTACACTGCCGTCCTTTTGGTCCCGCTATTGTGTTACAAGACCTGCACAGAGACTCCAGCAGTGCTGTGTGAACAGTGAGGGCAGGGAACGGCAACAGTCAGTGAAAACCAAACAGGCAACAATCTTTTTTTCAGCTTTTCCTGCAGCAGTCATCACCTGAAATCCAAGAGAGAGTTTTTTCCCTTTTGTCTGTTTCTGCTATCCTCTCCCCAATTATTTCTTTATTCCTGCCCTCTTTTTTTCTTGTCTTTCAAAAGACCAAGTACTGTATAAACATTGTGTTCATTATTACAGCCACTTCTGGGAGCTGCACAGTTGCTCCTTCTGTTATAACTGCTCTGTGCTCTCTTGGCATGTTCTGTGTTCCCATACTTAAATTATTTTTCCTTTTTCATAATCCTTCCAGAAAAGCTTGGCTCCTTGAGCAATTGCTCTTACCTTTGTCTCCTTGTTAATAATCTCCACACCCTCTTTTTTCTGCACTCTTGTCTCAGGTCCGATCATGCTTACCTTCAATTGGAAACACCCTAAGGTTAGGGAGTATGTGTAATTATGAAAGGGATGATTAAATCTCATTACTCTGAAGAAAATACAGTTCATAATGTTCTTAAGAAGCCAGGCGAATGTATATTGAATCAATGATGCTATAGGGAGAGGAAAGAATTACTATATGACATTTTTGCCTTTACAAAATCAGTCTCAAATAAAGCTTATTTTTGTCCAAAACCTGGATAAATCCCTTATAATCTTATGCTGTCTTTATTCTAAAAAAAAAAAAAATCTCTGTGGCAAGCTGCCATGTTGGATTCTTTACTACAGAAGAACACCATGTGCTGCTAAAACTGTGCTTGAGACAACAAAATGCAAGTGTCATGATTGGAAAAAAATGATGGGATCAAGAGCCATACCCACGTACAATTGACACCATCATTGGTCTAAGGCAGCCTTCCTCTTATAGCTACTATTTCCTTAGTTACTGGCAGGACAGATGCAACCATCTGAGAGAGAAGCATTAAGCAATAGGTCAAAAATGTTAGCAAAACACTTTGAAGGTTCACAATGTACTGGTAAAAAAGGCTTGTCCTCATCACAGTTGGTGAGGATTAATTTCAGTGACTTTGTGCTGAAGTACCTCGCACCCACAAACTTTTTTTCCTTGATTTTTTTTTTTTTTTAAGAACTAAGTATTTGGAGGAATCATTTGGCACTTGAACATATGATTAAGCCCATTTATAGTGATGCAAGACCTACTGGCTTTCAACAAAGTAGGTGTGGAGGCATCTCTCTTGCAATGCAGCTGTTTCTCACTGGTCAGGTCTTCCCACTTTCACGCTGCTCTGCTGAGCCCCATATTTTCACCTGCATTCCCTCTGTGATGACAGGTCTTCCTAGGCAGCTGCAGCTTCCCTTTCTGAGTGTTAAGCACTAGGGTTTGTCCTCTCTGACATTTGCTTTCCCACCTTCCAGTACTTTGGATTATCCGGCAGCTTCAGGGACATCTGTCCTGGCAAATGTGGCTGGCAGGTCTCGGGGAGTCAGGAACCACCATCACTCTATGTGTATCTCGAAATAGATAGCATAACAAATACAAGATAGTGGATGAGTGGGGTTTAGCTGGAATAACAGTGAAACAAAGAAGTTCTGGCACTGACAACAAGAATGTTAACAACAGCAAAAGAGTTTTAGGAGCGTGTGCAAGGTACCCAGTTACGAAGGGAAATAGGTGAGATCCCACCACCAGCTGCTGCAGTTTGTAGGTTTCCTAATTGCTGCCCAAATTCTTGCACCACCCAATTTGCACAAAAATTGTTGTTTTCTCTCTCTATTTTTTCTTTTTTCCTACTGTGACATCAGCATAATGAAAAGAGGGGACAGAGAGCAGAGTGGGAAATGGCTGCCATGTCACATGGAGAGACAATCCAGATCCCAGGGGCGCAGAAGTTTTGAAAACATGACTTTGTCCACATGCAGAAGTCCGAAAGGTCTGAATGCATACAGCACAAGGCAGCAATTCCTCCTGTGCTGCCCAAGCAAAGTGCTGAGGATGTCTTTCAAAATCTCACAGTACTGAGCAGCTGCGGTGATCCTGCAAGAAAGGATGCTGGGGTGGGTAAGCCCTGCTTGCCCACCCGCTCCTGCTGATCCAGCGACAGGGAGACAGAAAACCTGCAGAAAATAAGCGTGCCCTGAGATATTTATATAGCCTAGGTATGGTCACAAAGCAGGGGTCATGCAGTGAAGCATCTGAAGTGGGAATATGAGGAATGTAAACATGCAGGAGAAAGAATATAGCAAGAGTTGAACTAAGGGCTTTGATGACAAAGCCCTTGTAAAGGAGGTTGTGGTCAGCTGCAAGTGTTTCATCTAAAGGTAGGGCTGGGCCTTTTAAAGATTCACTGGACAGGCAAGCAGCATGAAGGAATGGCAGAAAAAAAACCTGAATAGAAAAGGAATTCGGCCCGGCAAGTATAGCTGCATGGGATCAGTCTCACTGGAAACATCATCTATCTGCCAGAAGTGGAGAAGGAGGAAAGGGCAACCTTAGCATCTGTTTCTCAAAATAATCTGTTTCCACTCAGTTTACGTAGACTATAAATAGTTTAGTAGAGTACAGACTCTTGAAGTAGGAGAATGAGGAGGCCATGGTATAAAGTGTCATTGAGATGTCTCCAAGGGTATCTCACAAACCTCAGTTTTCTAATTGACTTTCTTAGTTCTCACTCTCACCTCAGATCTTCTCATTGGGAAATTACACTGTAACCAGAGCCAGCTGCAGAACTAGGTGAAAAATCTCAGGGAAATCATCCCTTTCTTTTGCTGTTTATTTTATCAGTATTTGGGGAAATGTGGAAGTTTCAGTTCTGTCCAAGCTGAATCACTGGCATAGAAAAATCTATAACAGTGATGTGCAGACATAAGCTGTCTATAGCCAGCACATATACCCTAGGGAGTTAACAATGTATTTGCTTGTTTACAGAAGCAGTAAAAACAGAGTCTTCATTTCACCCCACAAATGTTTTATTTGCATGGAGAATTTTGGCACATGGTAAGTGTTTGGACCATGTGATAAATACAGCTTATATTCCATTTTTATATTTTATTCTAACTTTGCATATAAAAGCCATGGGGTTTACATTTTTTCAATTTGTCTCCTTCTACCTCATCCTTCATTATTTCCTTCAGAGTGACATTGGTTCCCAGGCTGAAGATGTTCATGATTCAATCTCAGCTCTTTTCTAAAGGGAATAAATGCAAGCATCTCTATGCAAATTGCAACCTTCTGGTTGGTATCTTCTAAGTCAGCAGAAGAACTCAAAATACCTAATTACAGTTGCTCTATATGCTAGTTAAAAGTGTGTATGAATCTTCTAAAAGTAGGAATGCTCCTGGCTTTGCACCACCTTCTAAGACTTGGGTGGGGAATCCATTCTCCTTTCTCCCTCCTATACTGCCACTTCAGTATTTCCTTTCTGTTTGCTTGTGCTGCAGCATCAGGGTAACAGCCACAGCCACGTGAGTAATTCAGTTAGGGGATACCCTGGCTTTATTCTCTGGAAAGAAGCTGTGGAAAACAAGATATAGAAATTATATGGGCCAGGCTCAGGATAATGCTCTCTTTACTCTGTTTGCGCTTTCCTGTTAGGTCAACAGGCAGTTGAGTTGGTTAGCAAGAGCTGTCGAAGCAAGGTCAGTTGTAAGCCTCCAGCCTGGCGTGCCTCTTTGCTACTGACCAGAGCTCAGATGTCGTGCACGGGGGCAGATTCGCTTATCTTAGGGGCCAGTTTGGGGTGGTAGGGTGACAGGTTTTTACACAGTGCAAGTAGAAGAAATTACATGTGTTGTCTGAAGGTGCCTTTAACATGGGCATGTCATCACAGTTGGGCAAATGGTAGAGAGGCCATTGCATGCTAGCGATTCTGCCTGAACAGGGGGCAGGAGCAGCAAAGTGGGAGATATTACCCAGAGAGGCTGGGAGTAGCTGAACCAAGCTATGGAGACCTGATCTTCCAGTAGGATGTTGGACTGTGTTCCCCCCCCAGGTGCATCCTTCCAACCTGCCCTCCCGTGACCCAGGGCTGGGCTCAGGTCTCGTGCCTGCAGGAGAGGCTGGAGGGGCAGCCTGTGCCCCAGAGACTCTCTGTCTGTCAGAGTCCTCTATCCCTGGACCAGTAAGTCTCCTCCAGCCTGTTCAGATATCTTTGTGCACAGCTGTTCAGTGTGAGTCCTTCAGCTAGTGTTACTCAGGGAGCAATAATCCTTCTTCCAGGGCAGAGCATCTGCACTGTATACATGCAAAGCTCCATGAGAAGCTGTAAAAGTGATGTGTTGTCTGGGGAATTGGAGCAGCAGTTAGCCTCCGTGGGTAGCGCCTGTGCTGACCCTTTTCTTCTTTCTTTTGTACTTATAGAAGAGAAGAAAATATATTTAGTTCCTGCTCCTGCTGCTGCAATCCATTAACTGCCTTCCACTTCACAGATGGGTGCTATTTTCCTTAGGGGAAAGTGATGCAATAAACACGCTTTGAATAATAAAAGCTCTCTACTCCATTAACTGCTTTTTGAGTTACACCTTTGGGGAGAGATTTTCAAAGGTACTTCATGAGGTCCAGTTTCTCCCTCTACTTTTGAAATCTTTCTCTCTTACTGTACAGGCTCCAGGAGTGTCTGGGTCACCCAATACAAATAAGAGCAGGGTCTTGGCTTGGGCCATCTTTCTTCTCAGATAACCTGGCTGCAATGCTCCAGTGGGTGAGTTGTTCGTGAGCACCACCTTGAGTTATTGCTTGACTGTTTACACCAGACCAAAAACGTGGTAGGTAAAAAAATCTTTTTACAGGGGAAATATGTTGTGCTGTAGAGAAGGAAAAGGAGGTACTTTTCCTTCTCCAGAAAGCATACAGTCATCCAATTACTAGAGAGAGTAGGGGATATATTATTTGAAGGGTTCAGTGAAATTAAATTTTAGTCTTGTCTCTGAAACAACTCAAACTTTTTTTCTTTTATAATACATTTATTGCTGAGAAGCATATTCTAGAGATTAGAGTAGGAAACTGATTTTCTTGGACCTCCTCCTAGTTGAGTGCGTTGTAACTACCTGCCAAAAGGCAGTTTCAAAGCATGTTCTCTGTACCTGGCTTATGGGTCCATGTCCCTATGTTCACTGGATGTACTGTGTATCTGCAGCTCCCACTGACTTTAGTACTACTGAGCATGCAGAGCTGGGGGGATGGAAATTCCAAACACAAAGCACCCAGAATCCAGAGCCATTCGCAGAAATGAATATATACTTCCATGTGAAAGGTGTTATACTTCACAGTTGTTACATGGCTATCCACATAGATATCAAGCTATATAAATAGTAGTTATATATATGAAACATTGAAATAATCATTATGTAGTTTTGTGAACCAAATGTGAAGCATACCTTTCAGCAAAGCATAGCTTTCAGCAGAGCATTTGCTTTCAGGGCTTTTTTACCTGCAGTTTGTATTTCATGAGTCTGACTCACCTTTTCCACAAAAACCAAAATGTACTTACCAGCCACTCTCAAAACCAAATTTCCTATGTTGTAAGAGGGTCTCTTTCATGGTCTTAAAGAATAACAACCCCTTCCCTATATAGGTACCTTATATGAATACAGGATGTACAGGACATGCTGTCAAGAGCACAGGAGTTAGTCTCCAAACAATAAAAGGTCAGTCCTGCAGCGACATTTCATTTGGGTGTGCAATGTAATAAAAGAAGGTATACTGAGTTATACAATTTCCTTTAGGCTGATTTAGTTTTAAGTTAAATGCCATGATGTATGTCAAGTTAATGTGCTTTTATCTGATTATGTTGAACTGGGAGACAATATCCCCTTCCTCACTGGATTAGCAATAGTTAAGGAACAAAATAAAACACTTCTCTAGCCATGCTCACTCCTGCATAATCATGCAAACACTTAGGTAAGGAATTTTACTCATGTCAGTAAGATCTTTGAAGTTATTCAAATACAGAACTGTTTGCAGAAATTGACCTGTGGTTTGCCTATCAGAGTTGCAGCTGGAGACAGATACTTCTGGTCAAAATGCTGCTTTCTTTGGTCCTAGCTTGGGCCTAATTTTTGACATCTCCTGATTCCTAAATACATGTTCAAAGCCCAACTTGATGATTCCAGTTGGTTTATTTAATTTTTCTTATTGTTTATTTCTTTGTACTGAATTATACTGTTGTTATGGGTTTGTGTG